ACCCCCGACGAGGTGTCAGATTTCCCCGACGAAAGCAAAGTGGGCGTGGTCGAGCTTCGATTAAAAGGTTCCGAAAGTGGTCCTGGGGGCGAAGCCCCAGAAAATTTCAACAATTTAGGGGTTTCAAAGGCTTATTTAATCGATTTTAGAGTCTCTTATATGTAAAAAATACATATAATATTTATTTCTCCCCGACGAATTGTGATTTTCTCCCCCCCCCCCGTTGGCGCCACCCTTGGATAGGGTTAGAATATCAAATGCGCTGATTACGATGTAGGCCTATTAGCTGCTACCATCAGTAGGTGACTGGGGTAATAATAATTAGAAGCACATTGCTGTGTATATATATATATTTATTTAAAAAATTGGGTTTTTTTTGTCAATCCAAAAATTTGACAATAAAATAACTATGCATATAATGTAGTAGATTGAAAATAATATCTTAAGCCTATCTGTATCATCACGTACAAACACCAACAAGCTGGTTGTCGCGTACGTCGGTCAGGTTGAGGTGTGTGTAACAATTAAATATTGTAATGAGATTTAGTCGTTAATGTATGAATATTAATTGAGTCCAAGGCAGCTTTAAATGATTTTATATTAGGTGGCATCCGAATATTCTGTATCTGTATCATCACGTATAAACAAGCAGTACAGTACCAGGAAAACCACACACTAATCTATAGCCCACATCTGAGATTAAAAATGATTAAGTATTTGTTCTGCACAGTGTTGTTGGATAATCATTGACTGACAAAACCTAAGGTTGCAAATCGACTGATAATAAAAATGTGTATCTTATTCGGTGAATTTCTACTGGTAGATACGGTTAAAAGAATAGGTCTATATAATGTATTCACTATAGAAATGTGAAACAATATATGATAGGATAATAAAGAGAAACCCTATTGGCGATTTACTCAGTATTTCCGACATTTTTAAATTTATAATCATATACCGGTATCCCTGATGATGACATAATTAATGTTGAAATATTGAATCCCAACACGATGGTGTGTATTTCAATACTTGGAGTATGTATTATGTATATGTATACCGGTATATTGCGGTACATACATTTATCATGACGTATCTAGTATAAGGACATACGCCTACCTTAATCTTTTCCTTATATTTTTTACGAAACAGTCAGTCAGAAACATTTAGTGTTTGATTGGACAAGTTATGAATTTTAGCCCTCTACACTGTTATTTTGAAGGAGTTATTTTAACTCGAAAGGAGTTATTCTGTACCTTTTTTTAGGTACAGAATAACTCCTTTGGAGTTAAAATAACTCCTTCAATATAACAGTGTAAAAT